AAAAAAAAAAAAAAAAAAAAGAACTATAGAAAACTGTTCAGGGGAACTGTAAATGGCTACTAAAGATGGGAAAGATATTTAATGCTCTCATTTGGACTGGTAAATAACAATGAGCCAGTGTTGACATAGGGTGATGTTGCATTTTACCAGCTCCAGTCTCGGCCAGGCCGGCTCCTAGGCTCAGATCCATTTCTTTTTGGGGGGGGGGAGGGGTGTGAGGAGAGAGGGTTCAGCATCACCTCCTGGGGGTTAGGCCCTGCCTCACAGAGAACTAATGCCCGCCCCTCCCCTGCCTGCCTTCCAGCCCTGTCCATCCTGAAGCGGGCCCCCCGGAAGCGCCCAGGCCGGGTAGCCTTCGATGGCATCACTGTCTTCTACTTCCCTCGGTGCCAGGGCTTCACCAGTGTGCCCAGCCGCGGCGGCTGCACCCTGGGTATGGCCTCCCGCCACAGTGCCTACCGCCGCTTCTCCCTGGCCGAGTTTACGCAGGAGCGAGCCCGGGCACGGCAAGAGAAGCTGCGCCTACGCTTGAAGGAGGAGAAGCTGGAGGCGCTGAGATGGAAGGTGGGGAGACCCTCTGCATGGCCCTCGCCCTAGGAGTTGCTCTGAAGTCCTAGCCTTGGGGGGACAGGTGTCAGGGTGGATGCCGATTCGCTTGTTGTGTTTTTGGGAGGCCTGTGGGGCTGTGATTGGCCTGATCAGGGTTTGCTGCCAAATTATCTGCAGGCAGATGGTTATAGAAGGTCTCCTGTTTGCTGTAGGGCTGGGGACGTGGTGCCTGAATATGCCTGACCTCACTGGGGAGGAGGAGTGGATGGGACACCGGGGGTCCGTGTATCTGTCCGGGGGAGGGGGTTTGTCCATGAACTGGGGGATAACATGAATAGGAAACCTGTTTGCAAATGCCCTGAGGGTGTTTTCTTGGCTGTCCCATTCACTATGGCATCCACAGTGCCCAGCCCAGAGAGAGTAAGCACGTGGCAGGGGGGTATTTATCAAGTGACCAATGCTGCCAGAAACTGCATCCGTGTCTGCCTCTCACGTCCCTCCTCTCCTCTCTGGACACAGCTTTCGGAGGCCGGGATACCCAAGACGGAGGCCGGCCTGCCGCTTACAGTGGACACCATAGACGATGCCTCTGTGGAGGAGGATTTGGCAGTGGCCGTGGCAGGTGGCCAGTTGGAGGAAATGACCTTCCTCCAGCCCTACCCAGCCCGGAGGCGGCGGGCTCTGCTGCGGGCCTCGGGAGTGCGGAGGATCGATCGCGAGGAGAAGCGAGAGCTGCAGGCCCTGCGCCAGTCCCGGGAGGACTGTGGCTGTCGCTGTGACAGGGTCTGTGACCCTGAGACCTGCAGCTGTAGCCTGGCGGGCATCAAGTGCCAGGTATGGGAGCCAGGCGGGGCTGGGAAGGAGAGCCTGAGTCAGGGGCTTCTCCAGGCTCCGCCGGATCCTCACCTGCACCTCTGCTTTCTTTGCAGATGGACCACACAGCGTTCCCCTGTGGTTGCTGCAGAGAGGGCTGTGAGAACCCTAAGGGCCGTGTGGAATTTAATCAGGCGCGAGTTCAGACCCATTTCATTCACACGCTCACCCGCCTGCAGCTGGAGCAGGGGGCCGAGAGCCTTGGGGAGCTGGAGGCCCCGGCCCAGGGTGCCGCATTCAGCCCCAACGAGCAGGTCCTGGCCCCCACATTCCCACTGGCCAAGCCCCCCGTGAGCAGCGAGCTGGGAGACAACAGCTGCAGCAGCGACATGACCGATTCGTCCACAGCATCGAGCAGCAGCGAGGCCCCCAGTGGCTCTGCCCACCCGGCCCTGCCCGGCCCCGGCTTCCAGCCTGGAGTGGACGATGACAGCCTGGCTCGGATCCTGAGCTTCAGTGACTCTGACCTGGGTGGAGAGGCGGGGGAGGAGGAGGAGGAAGGGGGTATGGGCAGCCTGGACAACCTCAGCTGCTTCCACCCAGCTGACATCTTTGGTACCGGTGACCCCACTGGCCTGGCCAGCTGGACCCACAGCTATTCCAGCTCCAGCCTCGCGTCAGGCATCCTGGATGAAAACGCCAACCTGGATGCCAGCTGCTTCCTCAATAGTGGCCTTGAAAGCTTGGGGGAAAGCAGTCTCCCCGGCCCCCCGGTGCCAGCCATCACGGATGCCGGCCAGAGCAGCTCAGTGGACCTGAGCTTGTCCTCCTGTGACTCCTTCAAGCTGCTCCAGGCCCTGCCAGACTACAGTCTGGGGCCCCACTACACCTCCCAAAAGGTGTCTGATAGCCTGGACAACCTCGAGGCGGCCCACTTTGCCCTGCCTGCCTTTTCTCCCCCTGGGGACGCCAGCACGTGCTTCCTGGAGTCCATAATGGGCTTGTCTGAGCCGGCCGCCGAGGCCCTGGCTCCCTTTATGGACGGCCAGTTGTTTGAGGACACTGCCCCAGCGTCGCTGGTGGAACCTGTGTCTGTGTGAGGGTTAGGGTGCCTTTTCCCGGCCCCGAGAGCCCTGTTGCTGCTTCGTTGTAATTGGGGGCTCCCTGAGGTCTGCCTGTATGTAACGGTCTCCCATTGGCTGGCTCCCATGTGGGCACTCCTAATTTTCATGCAACACTCTGGATTTATTTATTTATTTTTGTAACCTTCTGTGCTGAAGCGGGACGAGGGGGCACTTCCCCTTTCAGCCGCCTGGTGCCCCCATATGCCCACACCCTCTCTTCCACTTCCATGGCCGTGCCAGGAGCAGGAAGAAATGTGGCTCCCCTGGAGCTTTGCAGACTCCTTTTCGGTCTTGTATGATGTTCCTAAGCCCAAAGACAGCCACACAGGGCGGAAATCAGCCACTTCTTAAGGCTTCTTCTGCCACCCTGAGCCCTAGACTCATGGGTGGCTGAATCCTCTGGACTGTGAAGACTATAATTTATTTCCATAATTTATTTGGAGACTAGGTGGCTGGTAGGCAATGCTAGGGTTGGGGTGGGGCACAGACCCCTGCGAGTCCCTTTGCCTTTTAGTCCTGCAGCCCTGCCCTTGCCGGGGCTTTGGTGTAGACCAGGCATGGATTTGAGCCCTCTGTCTAATGTGGCAGCTGCCCTGCTCCGGCTGGCTGAGCAAGCCGGGGCTGGCCTGCGACAGCATCTGGGCAGGGGGAGGGGCTGGGCTGACCAACCACGACCAAAACCCTCTTCTGCCCCACGCAGCCCCCTCTCCTTCCTGTCCTCTGCCCCATCTCCCCCCTCCCCAAAGGCTACAGCTTTTATTCCAAGCCCATCAATGTAGGAGGGGGAAGCAGGAGGCCCAGAGAGGGCGAGGGGCTGCCCCAGGGCCTGTAGCATGCCCCTGACCAGTCAGGGCTTTCCAGGCATGCACTCCAGCCTGGTCCACCTGCCTGTACCCTAAGGCCAGTTGGCCAGGGGCCAGGGGCGAGGGGTGGCTCCTTATGGCTTTCATGCCCTTTGTTTGCAGATGTTGAATTTCGCATCATAGTTTCTATATTGTCCCTGAGTATTAGAACTGTAATTTATTCATTTTTCTTTGTCTGTGCCAAGAAGCCCAGGCTCTGGGCCTGCCCTCTTGCCTAGGAGGCCTTGCCAGCCTGCGAGCTTATGGGAACACCTTGTACCTGAGTTTACAGGTACCAATAAAGAGGCTCTATTTTTCAGTGTGGTCTGTGTTTGTGGATCTGGGAGCACATTTGTGGGACCAGGAGCACAGGTACACCCTCAGGTGGCAGTGAGGAGGGAAGGGGAGGGGGAGACAGGCCCTGCTGGGCAGTATGGACATTGAGGCTGTGTTGGGGATAGAAGTGGGGGACACTGGGCCTCTTTCCATGCCAGCCAGTCAACTCAGAGACAGGAAGCCAGCGAGAAGAGGCTGGCCGTGCAGATGGAGCAGTTTTCCCCTTGGATGAAGCCATCTCCAGTGGTCACCTGGATGGTGGTGGGGAGCAGCAGGGCAGTCTTCTGGGACAGGGCTGTCTGTGTGGGATGGGTGTGGGCTTACTTCTTCCCACTCACCCGCACTGAGCTGGGGCCTGGCCTCGAGGGTGAAGCGGGCAGTGGGATATGGCTGGTGCAGGCCTTATGTGGGACTGAGTGGCTGAGGTCCTTGGGGACGTGAGCACCAGAAGCTGCAGAACCTCATCCATCTGCACCAGCCAGACCTGTCTGACCTGTCCCTGGCAGCTTGGGCCAAAGGCCAGAAGAGCAGGCTGCACCCTGCCCCAGGGGGCCCCAGTCTGGGGGCCTGAGGAGAAAGGTTGACCTCCCCTCTAGGAATAATAATGATTTATACAAGGGCTAGGAGGGGGTCACCAAAAAGACCTGACTTGGGTCTCCCTTTTCTTGCTCTAATTCTCTGCCTGTGCTGGGAACCCCTTATTTCCTCTCTATGGCTTACTGGTTAAGAGCACAGACCCAGAGTCCCAGGGCTCGAATCCCAGCTCTTACACTAACTAGTGAGGTGACTTATGCAAACTACTTCCCCTCTCTGTGCCTGGGTGTCCCCCGTATTGTCCAAATAATAACACTGCTTACCTCACAAGCTTGCTCAGTTCATACGCACCCAGTGCTCAGAGGAGTGCCTGGAACATGTAAGCCTCGGGTGCGTGTCTGACTTCCCATTCTGTTTTCATGTGTCTGCTCTACTTCTGTATGTTTTATCCTCTTTTTTTTTGCCAGTTCTGTCACCCTTTAGGTATCTATCGCTTGCCTCAGGATATGTGTAGACATAGTCACGTGGTCATGTCGTCAGTGGAGTGGCCGTTAGAGAACTCATGGCTTGGGGTCTGGGCTATGGTGGGGATGCCTGTCCCTGGTACCAGCTTAGGCAGGGACAGCCAGGTCTTAGGCATCTCAGGGTGGAGTATTCTGGTGCATCAAGTTGTCTCGTGGCCCCTCTCACTGATCCCTGGGAGCCCTATTGTAGAGATTGCTCCAGCACGCATGATCCAAAACCTGGGTCTCTCCAAGGGTCCTGAGGCTCTGCTCTGGCCAGCCTGGGGGTCTGGGTGGCAGCCCCCGACAGCTCCAATACTCTGGCTGGAAGCCCCTGCAGGCTCCTATCCCGTGGCCACAGCCCATGGCTGGACTGAGCCTACCCACTCCCCATCTAGGGCCCCAGGGTCACTTGGGTTTTTTTCTCAACATAATCCACCCCAAGAAACTAGGTTGTAAAGCAGATCATAATAAAGGCAGCTGGCTTCCCATAGGAAGGATGGTGGTAACCTGGGGAAAACGTTCCAGATCACTGACTCATACCAAAAGGCCATGCACGAGATCAGCAATATGTTATAAAGACAAGGCTCGCAGCCATCAGGGACGACTCAGGCTGTTCTAGAAGGGACCTTTACCCGTTCACTCTTCCCAAACCTTAGTCACTGGACAACTTCTCTTGAAAACTTTGCCATATCTGCATTCTACTCATACTAAGTATTTTACTTTATATCAATTATATCAATATGCTTAAAAGTTAGAACCATTCTACGTAACAGCACCCACAAATTCATGAGTTTGTTGTACTATTTTTTTCTATAAGGATGATACTTAAACACATAGTTATTAAACTTTCAAATGTTTGCTGTATATCATTAGCAGGGATTTGTACCATGATTTGGGAACACAGAGATCTAGTCTAATTTCCTGCCACAGATGGGGACACATACCCAGAGGGGAAGGTCACACAGGGAGATTCTAGGCCTCCTGACTCCCAGTTCAGAGTTCCTTCCCCTGAGGTCAGACTGGCCCATTACTGCCGTCCTGCAAAACAGGAAGAGAGGTATTGGGAGCACACCAAAGGTGACCTCTGTCACCCTCTTGCCAGTTACAATTAACACTATTCATCTACACAGGGACCCCTGCTTTTGTCCCCTGAGGTGTTAAAAGGGTTCCTCGAGGATGAATTAGTTGGTCACTGTCTTTTACTAAAGATGAAGTAGGAGCTAGTTTTACTTGGGATGTATTTGCCTGCCAGAGGCAAGAGTAATCAGGGTTTGTCCCAAACTGGTAAGGACCAGCAGACGCCGGCTGAAGACTTGGGGAGGGGGAGGCAGAATGCATGGACAGAGTGGGCCTGTTTGGGCCCCTGCCAGGGAGGACGCAGCGGGCACCTTGGCAGAGAGCAGCAGTTGCTTCTTTAATCCAGGATTCCGGGGACCAGACAGGAGAAGAGAGGCTTGTACGGGCCAACATAAAAATATTAAAATAGCTGTAGGGTATTTTTTAAACCACCTCTTTGCTCCCCTTTGGCCTCTGAGAGTCTGGGATAAAAGCGGGGCCCGTTAGAAGTTGCCCAGTGAGCTCAGTGGAAGCTAAGCTGGTTGATAACTTTCTTCCCCAGAGCAAAATTGCTTCTTGTGCCTTAAAAACATAAAGCTTTGGGACGTCCCTTAGACCAGATTAGGCATGATTCAAATAAACCACACACAATATAGAAATGGGAAGAATATGTCATTTTCTGACTCTCTTCTCCACTGACCCACTTCCCACCCCCTCCATGAAACTTCTGTAGGTTGATAGTTTCCACCCACCCTGGCTCCCACTGACCACAGCTAGGGCCTCAGAGACCCTTGGGCCTTTTCCAAAATTTCTTCTCTGATTCTGGGGTAGTTGGGGTGTTCCTTGAGGACCTGGGACCGAGAGAGAAAGGGTGTGAAGCACCAGGCAGGGCTCCCCGCCACTGCAGCAAGCCCCCCACCACTGTCGGGGTCTTACATCGTGGCAGACTTCGATGGCCTCCACGAATCTCTTGTCCTTCAAGTAGTTGAAAGCGAGTTTGAAGCCTATCCAGGGGCAGGGAGAATGCAGACAATGGGTGGCAGTCCGACGACCTGAGAACCCGTCTGGTTCCCACAACAGCCAGAACATAGGCCTTGTGTTGCGGGGTGAGTTTGTTGGTCCTCCGGCCCAGCACCCACGCACGCCTGCCTGGCTGCCTTACCGCTGGCAGGGTTGGCATGATGGCTGTACTTCCAGGCCAGCTCATAGTTGGTGGCTGCGTCCTTGTACGACTGCTCTCTCTCCATGATGAAGCCCATGTACTCGTAGGCTTTGCAGCAGGACTGCAGGGAAAGCCGGTCAGAACCTCTGTGTAGGGGAAGCCACATCCCATCCTGGTTGGGGCAAGGGATGGGCGGTGGGTGCATTCACCCAAACCACTCAGGGACTCCAGCAGCACCGCCCACCTTGGCGAGGGGTGAACTGTGTACCCTCTTCTCAGCTGTGCCCACTCCGACAGGACCCCTTCCTCTGCGGCCCTCCTGCCCTGACCTGCAAATGCCCCTCCCGGCCCCACCAAACCCTCCCTGCACGCTGCCCCTCGACCTCATGAACGCTTCCCATCTCTCCTCCCCATTCCACGTTCCCCACTCCCGGACACTGTGTGCCTCCTCTTGCCTTGCTCCGCGTTCCCATCCTGCTCTGTGGTCCACAGGAACCCTCTTGTCCCGCCTCTTCTCATCTCCTTCCTACCCCCGCATCTCTGCCCCCGAAGCCCGTGTGCCCCTCCCCCGACCCTGCCCTGACAGCCGTGCGCCCCTTGCCTTGTTGTACTGCATGCAGCGCTGCAGCAGCTCCGAGGCCAGGTCGAACTTGCCGCTCTGGCAGTAGATGTCGGCCAGCAGGAGCCAGCTCTTCTCCAGGTCCTCGGCCTCGGCCAGCGTCCATGGGGCCTTGGCCAGACGCTTCAGCTGCGTGCGTGCTTTGGGGACCTGCTTCAGCAGCGAGTAGGCCTGTGCCATGGCCAGCAGGGTGGGAATGCTGTCCTTCTGTGAGGGTGGGAAGCAGGTGTTGCCTCGCCCCGCCCTCAGCCTCCCCCCACCGCCTGTCCACCCAGTGGGCAGCTGGTGCACCTCGGCCTGGGCCATCTCAATGAAGGTGCCCAGCGCCGCCTCCACGTTAGCCTTCTCCCTGGTGGCCAGCAGGCACAGGCTCTGCAGCAGCCGCAGCTGGGTCTGGCCCCAGGCCGAGTGCGGGTAGAACTCCCGCAGCAGCTTCTCAGCAGTGCGCACGCCGTGCTGCTCCAACTCCTTCCTGTCAGTGGAGCCGTGGGCATCGGATGCCAAGCCGGAGGGCAGAGGGCGCTGGCCTGACAGCCTGGCCCTCGCCTGGCCTTGACCCAGAGGCCGCGGGCTCTCTCTGCCTTCCCCCAGGTCCCACCCCTGCCCTTGCCGGCCAGCCGGGCCCTCACTTGCTCTCAGTCACCAGGTTCTCGAAAGCCTCTCCACCCACGATCTCATTGTCTGGGTTCAGACAGATTTGCACCATGTAGTAGGTGGCGCTCTGGCCCCAAGTGCTGTCCTTGCGCGCTTTGTTTAGGAACTTCAGGGCTTCGTTGGGTTGCCCTATGTGCCTATAGTGGAGGAGAGAAACACCAAGAATCAGACAGGGAAACTGAGGCCCGAGGAGTACAGGGACACACAGGGGTCACTCTGTGAATCTGCACAAAGCAGGGGCAGGATCGCTGGTCTCCCTGCTTCCTGATCTGGAAGCTGAATTTCTGCTTCCCTAGCAAACGCCAGCAAGTCCGTTAGGGACAGCCTCCTGCACATAACTGCCAACACACCCACCCCAACCCACCAGCAGTAGATGCCTCTGCAGTAGTTGAACCCTGGCTCTAAAGGCACCCGGCTGGACACCTTCTTGGCCAATTCAAAGAAGGCAGGGGTGTCCTCAAGTTTGCCACTTCTTCGTAGCAGATCGATTAGTTTGTTCAACACAGGAAAATTGTCTAAAACAAGAGAGCAGAAACCTTCAGGCTGTGATAACCAATAGCTGAATCAGGCAGGGAGAGGCAGGGAGGACCAGGAAACACTACCCGTCTGGGCTGAGCAGGGGCAACCCAGTGGCTCCAGTGTCTCCACTGGTCTCCACTGAGACACAGTAAAGTAGGTACTTTTATTGTTCCCATTTACAGATGAGGAGACTGAGACACAAAGAAGTTAAGTAATCTGCCAAAGGTTCCAAAGCTGGTAAATAGAAGACCAGGATTCAGACCTAGACAGTCTGGCTCCAGGACCTGAACTCCTAATAGCTGTGATTGCTGGGTGACTCTGCTGTGGGCCTGGCTGGGGCTCTACCCTGAGCCTCGTGTCTGGCCCCTTCCCCAGCAAGAAGCAGTGGTTTTATGTTGCAGTGAGTGGGAATGGAGCTACACGTCAGGGGAGAATTTCTAGCTACCTCTAGGTGGCTGTGACCTCAAAAGTGGACTTATGTTGAGCCCCAGTGTCTGTGATTTGGGGATAGACAGGCTGTCTTGGGTCCAGTGCCAAGCCCTGCCCTGCCTGAGACCAGGAACTGGCCCCTTGGACTCGGGAAGGGCCAGGACGTTCCACTGGGCCTTTATCAGTTTCCTGCCTCTCTGGGAACAATCAGAGAGGAGGGGGCTTCCTCTGCCCAGTCAGGAAGGAGGGGAGAGGGCCCACCCTTCTGGGGGGAGAGCAGCCCTCGCTTGGTGGGAACCGACACAGGCAGTCTCAGTGGGTAGGCTCGATGCAGGCAGTTACCTGGCGCTTCCTTCAGGACTTGGTGGTAGAGGTTGATGGCAGCTTCGTATTTCTGTTTTCTAAACATCAGGTCAGCCATCATCTGTCAGAAAACACGCGATGCTGGGACAGCAGCTTGCATGGGCATGGCGGGGAGGCTGTCGTGGGAACGGGGTGGGTAAGGAGGGAAGGTAGGAGAGGATTTCCGAGGTAGCCTCTCTGGGCGCTGGGAGAAGCTGCCACGGGAGAAGCCGAGAAGGCGGGGCAGCCTGGGGTGGGGGAGCAGGGGGCAAGGATGGAAGTAGGAAGGAAAGGCTGGAGGTAGACATGCGAGGAGCTAGGCCCTCCACCCCCATCTGAGAACTACCAGCTCCAGGCAGGGAGGTGGAATGGGGGCTCCCCACCTCCGCTGGGGCAGCCCTGAAGGTGGTCTGGGTGACAGGGTGGAGAGCGGCAGGACTGGGGATGGCTCTTCCCACACATTTCCCGAAGCCCCAGGAACCTGTCCCACCCCTGCCTTCAACAGTTGGGTGTGGTTCCTCCCCCCCTCCCACCCCCGGACTGAATCAGCCTCACCACCTCCCCTCAGATTGGCCCGGGAGGTCGCTGCTGCCCCCTGCTGCCAGCCCGCCCCTCCCATCCGAAGGGCAGTGGGTCCAGTGCTGAGTCCTGCTGCCCGACAGCCCCTCAGGGCCGGGTCAGCAGGGCACCTGGGGTTACGGGGTTAGGAAGCAGCCCGCATGCGGTCGCAGGGACCCTGGGGAAGGCAGGGAAGAGGGCCCGGAGCCTCTTACCACGGAGGCTGTCTCATGGTTCTTCTCGGTCTGCAGGAGGATGGCGCAGTGCTGCTCGCACAAGTCCAGGTGGCCCTGCAGCAGGTAGAGCCGTGCCAGTTCCAGCACCACCTGGACAAGACCAGATACAATAACTAACCAGTGCACATCATGGGAAAGCTCAGGGACCGATGCCTCGTTCTCTCACACCCAAGTTCTATCAGCTCTTCCTTCAAAATACGTCTCTGATCCCCTGGGATGGTGTCTCTGGCTTTCCCCTTCTCCCACCCAATACTCTAGTCACACCGTGCCTTTTACTAACTAATCGCTGAGAGTTGGGGCCTGGTTTACTCATACTCATCCTTCAGCTTCAGCTCCAACCTCATCTCCTCTGGGAAGCCCTCTGTGCCCCAGACACCGGGACAGGTACCCCTCTTCTGAGCTCCCGTGGTGTACTGAGCCCCATGTGGATATCACATGGTATGAGAACTGCATGTGTACTTGTCTGTACCCCATGCCTGAGGGCAGTCTATGGGCAGAGACCGTGTCTTGCCCCACTGCATCTCCAGGGCCTAGCTCAGTACCTGGCTTGCACATATTGGGAATCTGTTAAATAACAGCATATTAAATAAATGAATGGGTCTGTCACTAGGCTCTTCATCTACCCTCCGCCTGTGAACTCCAGCTACCATTCCCTATCTGAAGCCACACTTCTCACAAGACTTTAAACCTCCTTGGAAGCTTAGCCTGGGCTTCATGCCCAAAGAGCCCCCAGCAGCCACACTCTCATTGTCTCTCCATCTGCAAGGGGGACCTGAAAAGGGCAGACTTGCAGCACCTTTCAGCAACACCTTCCCTGCTCCACCCTCCACAAGTGGCTGTCCAAAGCGAGGCTTCCAGGGGACTTCCCTGGTGGTCTAGTGGTTAAGGCTCCGTGCTCCCAAAGCAGGGAGCCCAGGTTCAATCCCTGGTCAGGGAACTAGATCCCACATGCATGCAGCAACTAAGAACCCGCATGTGGCAACTAAGACCTGGTGCAGCCAAATAAAATAAATAAATATTAACAAACAAACAAAGAAACAAAAACAAAGCGAGGCTTCCAGTCTTGCTCCGAGGGCTGTGGTGGGTGAGGGCCCTGGGGTCAGCTGGAGCAGGCCCCGCCAGCACCAGGGGTCTGTGCCCCTTGCAGGGAGGCACAGAGAAGGAACTGGCCTCCGTCCCTAGTCAGGGAGCTCTGCGAGGCTTCGCGGCCCAAGAGAAGGAAGAGGGTCTCGCTCTTGAGGACCCACATTATTTCAATCCCCACCTTATTGTCAATGGGTGAGTAGGAGAGGGCATCTTTGTAAGACTGCACTGCCTTGGCATACTCCTTCTCTGCCAGGTAGTACTCCCCAAAGTGGATGCAGATGGAGGCTGCCAGTTGCTTCTGGGAGGGGATCATTTCCGGTTGCTCCAGGGGAACACGCTTCAGGATCCGAGACTGGAGGTCCATGGCCTTGGGAAAGCAGTAAACTCTGTATCAGAAACCCAGAGCCCGATGTGCCAGATCTCAGGCCAATTCACAGCAAATCCCCAAGCTCTCCACTCAGGGCCAGCTGTCTTAGCAAGGGCATCTCAAGTGCCCTTGAGCAAATCTGGGTCGCTCTGGACAGGCAGGGCCACTGGCTGAGTACCCAGGAGGTGAACTGGCACTGCCTCTGGGGCAGGAGCAGAAGCAAAGGCACTCAAACAAAACACTCTATTGTACTTGACTTGTTTACCTGTCTCCATCACACCTTGGTACTCACTGTGTCTAATTTGCTTCAGCTGTCCTACAGGCTAGGACAAGCACACCGTAGGTATTCAACGCAGGTGTGTTTCGATGGGTGCATTTGTTCTGAATACTGCCCTGCTGGGAACTTGAGGCGGCCCCCACAAATGTCCATGACATACAGTGATCAAGTGAGTTAACCAGAGAGCATTGGGGCAAGAGGAAATGAGGATGCCAGGGTTAAGTTTCGGGAAGTGGGCACAGATCAGCCCCAGGTTCCCTAAGGGCCAGACTGAGGAATGGAAATCCAGAGAGAAACAAGGGGATAAGTCACCTCAAGCAGTCCGAGATGTTCTACAACCACAGAATACACCCCAGGGGCAAGTGCCAGGCCGTACCCTCGGGTAGAAAGAGTGAAGGAGTGGAAAGAATGGCCAGGAGTCTCCCAGCAGGAGACTTTGGGCTGGGACAAGCCAAACCTGGTTCAAATCTCAGCTCTACCACTTACTAGCAGTATGACTTTGGGTACATTTCTTAACCTCTTTGAGTCTTATCTGTTAAATAGGAATGTCACAGTGCTTAGCTCAAAAGGCTACTGTGAGAATTAAATAAGAAAGCAAAAAGCCTAGTACAGAACTCAGCACAGAGCGTTCAATGCATGGGAGCCTGCTGACGTTATCTATTATTATCACCACAAGCATCCTTGGGGACAAAGGCACTGTCTTATGCCCTGCATTCTCCAGCCCAGCGCAGGCGGGCTTAGAGCACTTCTGTGCACAATCAATAAAAGAGCAAGGCTGGGGGGATAAATGCAAGGTGGAGGTCGGAGGTGTAACCTAGATCCTCTTTTGAGGACCAGGCCTGGAGCCTTCCAGACCTGCAGTCCTATCCTATCTTCAGCTCCCATCAGGAAATGGCAGATAAAGAGCTTGAGTCTACTTGTCAATTACCTTGTTCAAAGTGTGCATCACATCTTCTTTCTTATGGTTCTTGTAAACCTTTGCCAGCAAAAGCAAGCACTTGACATCATTCATCATGGATGGGATGTCTTTGACTGCAAAACGGAAACTCAAAGTAGTGTTTTCTGGCCCCAGGGAAGCGGGGCATGGGGGAGGATGGAGGCTGGGTTCAGAGCCCCAACCAGTGACTGGCCCCTGCCCCATTCTGCAGGAGAAGAGGGTGTGGGCCGGGGGCAGTCTGTCTGCTGGAAGGCTAGGGGAGTGAGGATGCTGACTCACCAAAGTCATGATCCAGCGCCTGCTTCAAAACTTTTTCTGCTTTGTTGAACTTCTTTAACTTCAGAAGCAGTTCAGCCAGATCGCAGCACAGCAAGTCCTGTCCGCTAATCTTCTGGGCAGCCTCATAATAATTAATCGCCTTAGTGCACACAGGAAATATTGGCATCAAGTCTGGTTTTACTCGCGAGCACCTCACACCGTGTGCACACCGCCCCACTCCCCGCCGCAGCCACCGCGCCTGTGTGCCCCTCCAGATCACAGAAGCCTCAGGTGCAGAGGCCTCCCTCCTGGCTCGGAGCCCGAGCCTTAGCCTCGGCAGGTGGTGGGGGGTGGTGGGGAGTTGCTGAGTCCTCCCCTTGGCGCCCTGTTCAGCGGGCTCTCCCCTCGCACCCAGCCTCCCACCCATGCACCCTCCTCCATCTTCCCTGCTGGGCCGGCCCCCCCCACCCCTTCCCACCCCAGCCCAGCCTGACCTTGGTGTACTGGTGGGTCTTCACGTAAGCTTGCCCAATCCTGCTGATCAGGGATGCGTCGTGTGGGTTCTTTCTGTAGGCCTCGTCGTAGACCTCTAGGGCCTTCTCGGGCTGGTGGGGAAAGGGTCCGCGGTCTCTCTCTTCCCTCTCACTGGAGAAGTAAGTTTGTGGGGCGGGGGCGGGCACTTGGTGAGGTCATGAGACCTTCACTCACCTCCTGAATGTTCATGAAAGCATCACCCAGTAGCAGGCTGGTGTGAGGGCCAGGCAGATGTTCACAGAGCTCCCTGCAAAAGTAACCAAAACCTTAGCTCAGCCCTGTGCATCCTTCCTATTCCTGAATCCATCTCCTCTTCTTTCCCACTCATTCTGGCTGACATTCTTTCATTTACTCATTCATTCATCACTCAATACTTATTGGCTCAGATGAGGCATGGTGCTAGCTCCCTTAGTTCAGCCTCTCCTCATCTGTCATCTGGACCACAGCCGGCACTTCCACCCACTCCTCTGGCCTCCACTCGCAAACCCCCAGACCCCTCTTCATGAGGCAGCCTGCTCTTTCTAAACCTCCAGTGTGACTATGTCACCCCACTGCTTATTGGTTTCCCACTGCTCTTGCCATCACCTCCCCTTCCTCCTGAATTGCCTAGATAGAGTTTTGCCTGAGGAAGGGGACCAGGGCAGTACCCTTGAAGTCCCAATGTCAAACCGTAGAGACAGTAACTTGGAGCTTCCAATCCCTGCTCTCCATCCTCCTTCACTCACATTGGTACATCTAAGTCACTGAACATTTCCTCAAGGACAGGCAGAGCCAGGGGCTGAGGCAGAAAAATGATTCCCACCAGGATGTGACCCATAACGGGGGGCAAGCAGGCCTCAGGGCAGATTCACCCCTGTATCCTCACAAGTCAGCCGCAAGCTGGTCTGACTGACCTAACCCATGGGAAATTCCCTACTTTCATCAAACACACTCTGAGGACACATTCTGAAGACCCAGGGTGAAGAAGACAATCTGGAGAAAACACTCCCTGAGATGCCACTGGGGCTGGGGCTGTCAGTGCACTGCCCAGGGCTCACCGGTAGCACCCGATGTAGAGGTGGACGTCCTTGCGGGTCTGCAGGTAGATGCTGGCCATCTTCTCCTTGGCCTCCGTGTAGCAGGGCTGCTTGGGTGTGATGTTCCTCAGAATGCTCAGTGCCAGGTCTGCGCTCCCCTTGCTCAGGGCCAAATCCACGTCGGCAATGGTGATGCGGATCTCCTCCGGCGTGCCACTGAACTCGTTGATGGTGTCCTGCATGACCTTAGTGGCCTCGTGCTAAGACATGGGAACCCAACAGACCCTCCATTTGCCGTCACCCACCACTCCTGGAAGCCAAGGAGAGGATGGCCCACCTCCACCTCAGAGCAGCAGGAAGGAGAGAGAGCCCCTCGGTATCCAGGGCCACTGCTCCTGGAGGGCAGGGCCAGCTGAGGGGCACGAAACCCCTGACTCTAAGAACTTGTTCCCGAGCACCTCAACGTCTGTTGGTGATTCCTTCCTATGGGAGACCTATGGACGCCTCTCCTTGTACCTTCCTGCTTTCAGTCAAAGATATTTTAACATTATGGTATTGGGCACATAAAGGTCTATTCGAATTATATCTTCATTGTATATGTACCCTTGATTATTATAACAAAGTTACTCTCTTTGCCCATTTTGGTGCTTCCTGCCTTTGCCCAGCCAGACCTTCCAAGGTCCCAGGGCTGCCTCATACAGTTGAGCAGGTTGTACACTGCAAAACTTCAAGGGGATGTAACTGGCATCTACTGGAGCTGTGCATTGCCCAACCTGCACAGCCACCTGTGGTGGCCCTGGTGGGCCTGTGTGCTCCACCTCCCAGATCCTTATAGGGACAGTGATGTAGGCAGGGGACAGATCATGCAGGACTCAGTAGGGTTTGGAGTTTATCTTGAGGGCAATGGGAGCCACTGAAGCCTTTTAGGTAAGGGAGAGGGATGCTCCCAAATGAATAAAGGCTCAAATAAAGCACAAGGAGACATCAGCCAGAATCAAAGAGCCTTGTTCCCAGGCCTACCCTGGACCTCCAGCATGCCCCAGCACCAAGGGGAGAGAGCAGCACATTTCTTACCAGCTCCCCATTCATCCGGAGGGCATCTGCCAATTCCAGTAAGATGGATACCCGCTCACTGGGCCGCACAGAGGGCCCATGGAACTTCTTGCTTTCTTCCATCTTCAGAATTGGTAATTTTATGATCATCTTCAGTGCCTTTATGGCTTCTGGGTAGTCTCCAGACTTGTTGAGGGCCCTGGCCTTGATGAAGTGGTAGAGGGGGTGGTCTCGGACCTAGAGGAGCATAAGCAAAGTGTGGGGCTCCAGCTCCCAGAGGGGAGAAGTCCACAGGAGCCCACTGAGCCTGCTCCTGTCTTTGGGCCAGCAGAAGGGGCTGAGGGATGCAGGCAGCTCCTGAGGCTACTCTCCTGAACCAAGTGGGGGCTGATGCTAGCTGGGCTGTGGGATGCTGAGCAGGTGACAGGGCATAGGGGACCCCCACCTGGAAGTTGTAGCTGACGCCCAGCTCCAGGCAGTGGGAGCACATGGCAAAGTTGCCCTGAGCCAGGTAGATCTGAGACATGAGGAGGTAGGCGTCCACGGAGGTGGGGTCCAGCTCCAGGCAACGCTGCAGGGTGCTCTGGGCATTCTCTAACTCTCCTAGAAATAATAAACAAATCTCTACATCCAGGGATCCTTGGGACTCTCAGGACCCACTATGTAAAGGCAGAAGGAATTTTACATGTCCTGTTACCCAGAAACACCCAAGTTGGGCATTTTACCCAGTTCTGTTCTGCTTGACTCAGAGGTTTCTTCCTAAAATTAGAACTACAGTTTTTGCCTTGACCCGGACAAAAGCCAGAAAATTCAAACCTTGGTGACACCTCCCTTCTCTCTGTACCCTCAGGGAGATGGCTAAGTTACTTCACTGCTCCATCTGGAAGCTCAGGGGAACACTGAAGTCTCAATTCCCACACCTAAGAGCAGAACAAAACCTAATAATAACGGCAACCATAATAGCCACAACTTAAGAAGCACCTGCTCTGCGCCAACATAGGCAGAGCACTTTAGAAAGGCTGGTTTAATGTCTGCCCAGCCCTGCAAGGTTGGTATTATGATGCAGGACTGAAACTTCAGTGATATAAGTCACTCAGCTTGGAAGGGACAAAGTCAGTATTTAAATCCAGGCCTATCACCTCCTGAGGCTGAGCTCAGAATGCCTTGGCACGTTGGGGCTAAGAGGCCTCCGTGCAGCCAGGCCGGCCCTAAGCAGGTGGCAGTGGCAGCCCAGGAATGGGGTACAGTGAGCTGGTGGGAGAGCCCTCCTCCCTCTGCAGCCAGGTCCCTCAACAGCTCCTGCTTGGGGTCCATCACCAGCTGGTGGGGAACACTTGCTTCTGGGTCCCAAACTCCCTGCTCCTTCCCTTGTGCTGCAGAAGCGCAAAGATGTCACCATGACAACCTAAGCAGCTGGAGACCTTGCTTTGTCCCTAAAGGTGCTGGCAGCTGCCAGCACCCCTGTGTGTATGTCGGGGTGGGGGCGGTTTCTGCCCTCCCCTTGTAGCCAGGAGACCTTCAAGAAGTGGGCAAACCTGGCAGCCGGATGAACACTAGAAGGACCGAGGATGAAGACCGGGGAGCTCTGGACAGAGTGTAACCCACACAATGCAGAGCCAGAGGACACAGGCACGCCACGGCATTCTGGAGCCTTTGGCAGACAGGGGTGAAAGGCTGCAGGGAGCAAGGACTTCGGAGAGGACAACAGGCCCCCACGGAGGGTTCTCCCCCTCTTT